CGGGCCGAAGCGGCGGTGCGCGTGCTGCGCACGCCTCTGCTGTCGGCCGCGTCGTCGCCGCAGCCATCGCCGTCGTCGTCGTCGTCGTCGTCGTCGTCGTCGTCGTCGCTGTCGCCGCCGCCGCCGCCGCCTCCATCGTCGTGCCGTAGTCGTCCTGAAAGTGCGCACACACATCGGAGAACCGTCACCCATGACAAACACGAAAAACTTACGGATGTCAGGTCACGGCGGGTCCTGACACCGCCACCTCCACGAAACCTTTCCGATATCCAACGGTTGCACGCAGAGCGCAATCCGCCTTACACAACGCCTCTACTGGTTGCTCGAAGGTGCCCCGCCCCGCGAGCCACCCCCGACACGCCCCGCGGCCCACCCTTCCGATATCCAACGGTTGCACGCAGAGCGCAATCCGCCTTACACAACGCCTCTACTGGTTGCTCGAAGGTGCCCCGCCCCGCGAGCCACCCCCGACACGCCCCGCGGCCCACCCGCGACACCCGCCCCGCGACCCACCCACGACACCCGCCCCACGGCACACGCACACTGTTTTGACCACTTCGCGCCTGCGACGAGCCTTCTGTGCAGAGTGTGCAAACTTCCTCGCCTGTGGAGAACGTCTTTTCACGTTTGCCCCCGAACCTCGCAGAAAAACTACCGACGACCCCCCCCATCACTCCCAATTAATCCGCACCCGCCACGGCATGCTCCCGCTTCGCCTCTTCGCCGTTACCGGCCCCTCTCTCCCCTGCCACTCCCCCTCCTCCGCCCCCTCCCTGCGGGGGAACGTCAGGGGTCAGGGTGGCATCGGCTCAGGGGGGACACTGGCATCGGCGATACATCGGCGACGGGCCCCCGATCGCAACACTGGACGTTCCTGGGCGGGGTAGATGGGCCATCGGGCCCCTCTCGGGGGGTCGATGCGCCCCTCCTCAGCCTGTCCCGCCTAGAGTTATGGGGCGGCGAAATCTATACGCATACCCACTGCTCCCTGGCCAGGCCCAGCCTGAACTCAGCAGCGGCGCACACGCCACGCCCTCCTGGCTTGGCCAGGAGGGCGTACAGTCGAGGCGTTGACCTAAGGAACCCTAAATAAGGAACGAGGCCCCTTTTTCCCATCAGTTAAACTTCGATTGCCCATCGGAAACCTAAGTAAAACGTGGGGCAAACTGCGAAACAATGAAGGAACGCCGAGCCCCTCTCCAACGAAAAGGGTTCCTTCTTCAGGGCCCCGACTGTGCACACAGCTCCTGGGTTCAGGATGGGCCTGGCCGGGGAGCAGTGTATAGCTCTCGCCGCCCGGAGAGCTGCCCCTGACCGTCCCCCCCCCCTCCCTCCGCGGCCACGGCCGCCCCAGACCTCCTCCGACACGCGGCGCCTCGGCCCGTGGCCCTGGGGGCTCCCGACCCCTTCCCGTGGGGGGGCGGCTGCTCGTCCCCTTCCCAGGGCTCCCGCCCCCTTCCCGTCCACCTGTCGAGTCGGGGGGTCAGCCGTACCCACCGCCTGGGAGCCGACGTCCTGGTGCCCCGGCGGGCGGTGGACCTGGATCTACTTCGGCCCCCGGGGGGGCCCGACTACGCCCATGATCCACCGCCTGCCGAGGCTCCGAAAACTGACCCTCCAGGCGGTGGTCATGTATAGACTCCAGCCTCGGACACTTGTCATGGCCCCAGGGCCCGAGAACGGCCCCCGCGGGCCGACACCAAGGCAAAACTGCGGGTTGAACAACAAATCATATCGTAGTCGGAAGTTTGGGGTCGCTGTCGCGTCCGCAGCCGCCGTCGCCGACCCCGCCGCCGCCGCCGCCGCCACGAGGCTCGGTTTTGCGGCGCTGGCGGGCCGCGGAAGGGCGGGGGGCAGGCGCGGGCGGCGCGTCCGCCCAAGCCGCGCGGGTGGTCAGCCTGCCGGAGGGGGGGGGGGGCCTTCAAAAGGACAAGATTGAGCTGAGGTCAAGACGGTGGACAGGAATGAGATCCCAGCTGTCCGGAAAATATTAGAGCGCCCACGAGTGCTCAAATTTCGGGCAACCGATTTCCAACCACCCTCTTGACAGGAACAGTTCCGTTGAGTCTGTTGTTGGCCAATTGGGGGGGCGCGCTTTGGAGGCCCCTCTGTGGGGACTCATTGAGGGGCCTCCCCGGGGGCTCCCTGCAACGCCTGGTGGGCCTCCGCGATGGGCCAATCCATTCTGGATGCGGCATGTTTGATTGCCGGCCCTGCGCGACTCATGGGTCGCCAATCTCATGTGGTGGGCACAGCTCAGGATACGAACCTCCACCGATCCCACGACATATTTGATGCCGCCTGACCTAGACAGCGTACCATCACAAAACCAATATTGCATTGCCACGGCGTCGCGGAACAAACCTGGTTTTATAGATACTGCTTGTGTGACCAACACCCCAGTCTGTGGCACGCAACCGCTGGCATACCTCGTAATCGTAGGCGCATGGTGCTCAGCCGAATGTCAAGGCTCGTGTTTGTTCGTGGGCAGCCGCATGTAGAAATCGTTCCCAATAATTTCGTACCTGGTCTGACCATGCGCGGTCGTTATTGAATCCACTGCTGGTGTCCACGTTGTTGATTTCATCATGGCCCTGGTCAGCTGGATCACCACATGATGGTATTCCCGGATCGCCGCCAGACTCATAATTCTGGGCGCGTGTCGCTAGCTCAGGCTGGACTCGTGAAACATGGTTGTATCGGGTCCCGATCTGAGCGATAGTTCCTCCGAATGTTGCCCTGTCTGGTTCGAGAACGCAACGCGTCAAACCTACATGTCGCAAGTCTCGTTGACCGCATGTTATCGGCCGAAGCGAACGATGTACAATGCTACCCTTTTCCAGGCTGGACGCGTTGGGTTCAGTCTCGAGCCGAATGCGTACCATCACGACCGACACTGACACACTTGTAACATGATGTGCGGGCGTTGCTTCCTGCGCACCTTTGCTAGCTAATCGTATGCTCTTGCACCCGCAAACGATACATGCCCCTCCCTCATCTCTACACTTCGGGGAAACGAAATGGAGGAACTTCATGAGGGAACGACCCCCCTTTGGGGCGCAGATGAAATACGACCGGCCGGGACGATGAAGAGAACGAGGAAGGGGAGAGGGGGGAGTGGGGAGGGGGAGGAGAGGGGGGAGGGGCAGGATGAGGCGAGGAGGGGAGGAGAAGTACGAGGAGGAGGAGGAGGGAGGAGAAGGAGGAGAATATATAGGAGAAGGAGGAGGAGGAGGAAGAGAAGGAGGAGGAGGAGGAGGAGGAATACGAATACGAATACGGATAGTAGAGTGAGTCCAAGTTGCCCAGACCCACCTACATAACAAAATGATAAAAGATGGCGCTAAAAAGCCCACCCAAGGAGACGCCTACCGAGGAGTCTCGCCCCGGCGCAGCCGCTTTAAGCGGGACTTCTGCGCGCTGAGGGTCTTGGGGACGTCCGAGGGGCCTTTACAAGGTCGCCTGAGGGCGAGAACCCGCCCCGCCTGCGAGGCAGAGCGCTTCGCCGCTCTGCGGGCTCTTGAACAGATCCCCGCCTTAGAGTGCATCGTTTCTGATTTGCTCTCGTTGGTTGAGGAGGGCCAGCGCTGGGATCCCGTGGACGCGGGGCCTGGAGGGAAGCATGCAAGTTTATGGCGCCGAATTCGCGCGGCTGCGCAGGCTCGCCCAAAACCGCCTCCCGATTTTGTTTGGTGTCCTGCCCACGCGTCCCTGGAGGACGCCGTGATCAGAGGGCCCCTGGATGGCCCCCCGTTTTTGTTTGCCCTCGGGAACTCCTGGGCCGATTTTTTCGCGAAACGGGGAGCCGCTGAAGAGTGCGTTGGCCAGGGCATTGCTGATCTGTTCCGAATGGCGCTCTCGGAAGCGCAGGAGTTCAGCGTGTATCAAGCCTGGGCAGGGCGTCGAATTATCGATCTCGGTCTCTTCGCGTCGGAGTCGGAGGTCGGTCGTCGCCGGAGTCCTGCCCCTGGCGCCCTGCACAGCATCCCGACACCATTCATCGGAGATGAGACTGGCCACCAGTTATTTTACAGCCCGTCCCGTGGTGAATGGAGGTGCAGGCAATGCAACACGGTTACAAAATCCCGCGCTGGCTTGCATAGCCTTCAGGTGGTGAAGAAATACCGTGTTTGCAAACCCTCGGACATCCAGCGTTGGGCTGCCCAGAGGCTGTTCAATAAATGCTGTGATTTTGTGCCCCAGACGTCCGAGGGAGCGGAGGCGGCGCTGTCGGCCGCCTCCAGGTTGCTCGATGGCCCCCCGCCCCCTGACCCGGCCCTGGTCCCTGGCCTGACGGGGGCTGCTGGCGCGGAGAGCTCTGGGGAGCGGAACGCCTGCGCCGATTTAGGCGTGGGTCGGTCCGTGGTGGGGGCCCCTGGCCCCTCGTCGGTGGCGGCGCCGAGCTCTGGGGAGTGTGGCCGTGCCGATTGGGACCTGTTCCACCGCCTCGGCCATCGGATGGCTGAGGTGGGGGCGTACGCCTTCTGCGAGCGGTGTGCCTGTGTGGTTGAGGAGGAGGAGGAGGAGGAGGAGGAGGAGGAGGAGGAGGAGGAGGAGGAAGAGAAACAGGAGGAGGAGAAACAGGAGGAGGAGGAGCAAACAGGAGGAGAAGGAGAAGGAGGAGGAGGAGGAGGAGGAGGAGGAGGAGGAAGAGAAGGATGAGGAGGATGAGGAGGGGGAGGAGAGTGGCGGGAGGAGCAGCGGCGGGACGACGGAGAGCAGGGGGAACAGGAGAAAAAGGATGAGGTGCACGAGCGCGAGGGAAAGGGGGCCGCAAACCCCGACGCCGTGCCGTTTTGCCGCAGCGAAGACTCCTGAAGGCCCCCGACCACTTCGAGGGGCAACGGTAAGGGGGAGACTGGCCCGAGAGGGGAAGCGTGGACCTGGAATCGGTGATGCATCGCCCATCGATCTGCGATAGGCCCCCGATAGCAGATCCACACGGTCCTGGGCGGGGGGAGCTGTTGGGCCCCATGGGCGATCCATGGGCGATTCGAGGT